TTCACATTTTCTCTTCAGAGGCAAAACTCCATGATAAATGTGAAGGATTGTTTTTCATCCTCCTACAAGGTATGTGGTTTTATTCTGAATAGGAAGCACAAGCATTAGAGAGATTTAGAGATACCAAGGGGATTGGCAATCAAGTAGTTTAGTTTCCCTTTATTTTCATTAAAGGGGTGAAAGGCCTTCGGAGTTCATGAGACACTAAAATTAATGATGCATCCTAATTAAGTAAATGTTCTGTCCCTGTTCTTGATTGCAATACTGTACAAAATATCAGGAGAAAAAGATCAAATTGCTGCATATCAATCTTTTCATGAAAATAAAAATCCTCCCACTCCCTGTCAGTCATTCTCTTGTGGTCCCATTTTAGATCTCAAATGTCTTTTAATATTTTGCTAATTTGTACCAGCTTCTGTGTTTAATCTTATTGTGCTTAGTGTTCTTCATTCCAACATGAGTTATTTTCTTATAACCTTCCAATTTAATAAGCATTTCACATGTTCTCACATCTTCATCAAGATTCGTTATATCTAAATCGGTATGTATTGGACGCTAGTATGTGTTAGACCATGTGAGCACACAGTACGCTGAAGAGTGTATTATAAGAGGAGCGATTTGTGTAATATATGTAAGTCCTTAATTCATTTGTTCACTTGTGGAAACAATGCTGTGTCTCGTTGTCCCTACCCTGGTTTCCATCCCTCCCTGTATAATAACTGTGTTAGGAGAATGGACAAAGTTCTCGACTCATGAAAGATGGTGGTGCTTCAGTCATTAGAGGGATGGAACCGCCACTAAGCCAGAGTTGGCTATGAAATCTTAAAACTCCTAGAGAGGAAAGAGCATACTATTTATTTTTCAATTCTCTTCATGACTGGCTTTATTAGTTTTGTATTGCTGTTATGAATCACTACAGAGGAGCGACTTAACACGAATGTATTAGTGTACAGTTTTGTAGGGCAGACTCTCAGATGAGTTGGGGTACTCCATTATTTCTGGATCCTCCAGGGAAGAATCATTTCCTTCCCTCTTCTAGACTCTACCAGTTGCCCTGCTAGCATTTCTTGACTCTTCTCCCCTTCCACAAACACCTGTCTCCAACCATTGCTTCTGTCCTCACACCGTATCTCTGTCTCTTGCCTTTTGGCCTTCCTCTTGTAAGAATGTTTGGGATGACATTAGGCATACACAGATATCTAGGATAATCTGTATAGTTAAAGGTGCTTAATGTTTTAACACTTGCAAATTCCTCTTCAGTGTAAAAGGTAGCGTAGACACAGGTTCTAGGAATTAGACTGTGGACACTTTGAGGACCATTATAATCTCGACCATACTACACTGGTTCATCATGGAAATTGAGATACAAAGGGTTGTAGAGGTCTTATCATTTCCTTGAATATTTTAAAATTTATTATTTTTGTAACTTGTTTCAAAAATTATACAAGTACAAACCCATATACCACTACGCCAATGAGTATATATCAGTATCACTAATGAATAGATTCTGGTATCACAAATAACTTAGAAAATGACCATTATTTTTCTTAATGTCAAAAATATTAATTCTGAGAACTATGACTATCAAAATGTTATATAAGCTGATAGTTTTATGATTCACTCATAATATTACAAATGTTTCATTGCTCTCTCTGTATATTTTACTTGTATGAAATTGATACATGAGGAACCAGCAGATGGCATAACAGTTACATCGCTGGGCTTCCATGTAGTCGATCACAGTTCAAGTCCCTGACCTGACAGCATAAAACTCACACTAGATGCATGTGTGTGCATGCCCAAGATCCCAAGCGGAAAATGGAGGAGAAGGTATTGCTATATGGCCATCCTCCCTGGGGGGTGATTTCTCTCTTATAATCTCTCTGTCTCTCTAGTGAGTACATGTGCCCTATAGCAAAAATCTCTCTAAACACACCGTAATTCCTTCTCCTCCATTCTCCTCTCAGGATCTTGGGCATGCACACACATGCGCCCGGCATGAGTTTTAAGCCACTGGGTCCGGGACACGAACCACGGTCGACTGTGTGGGAGTCCAGCAACATAGCCATTATGCTAACTGCTGGTCATTATGCCCAAAATCTTGAAAGGAGAATGGAGGAGAAGGGATTGCAAGTGGCCATCCCCCCTGGGGGGTGATTTCTCGCTTTCTGTCTCTATGTCTCTCTCTGTCTGTCTGGCAAGCACAATACCCTATAGCAAAAAACCTCTCCAAAAAAAAAAAGACATCAATAGATGAAGAATTCACACTTACATAAATACTTCTTAATAAAATTAACAAATTCATTAAAATGCATAATTTCATATTTCTATCATAAAAAAAAAAAGACATCAATAGATGAAGAATTCACACTTACATAAATACTTCTTAATAAAATTAACAAATTCATTAAAATGCATAATTTCATATTTCTATCATATCTATTTTCTTTAACACCCTAAGAAGAAGGTATAATGAATGAAAGACCCAACAATGTCCTTTACAGATTTTTAGGGGCTGATTATTTTCTTCCCTTTGAAATTTGTATGTTGAAGTACTTGTCCCCATTGTGATGCTATCTGGTGGGAGGAGGACTTAGGGGGCATACTTAATTTAAAATAGACCATGAGGGTGGGACCCTTATAATGGGATTAGTGCCCATCAGAAGATGATTTCTTTTTCTATTTTTTCTTTCTTTCTTTTCTCCCTAAAAGCATGTAAAAAACTGATATGACTTCAACACTCCAGGAAATTGACCACTCCTGAGTGTCTGAACGCCTATAGCCTTTTCTCCTAACTAGAAAGCCTTTTCCAAACAGGGACACAGAGGACTGCTTTTCCAAACAGGGACACAGAGTACTGGCAAGTGGTGTGATGATTAAGGTGCTGGACTCCCACATGGCTGGTCACAGTTTGAGTCCTGGACCCAGTGGCTTGCTTTTTCACTTTCCCTGTACCTCTCTCTTTCTGGTCAAATTTAATAATAATAATAACAATGAACAAAATTGAATAAAATAATTCTTTAAAAAATAAAATGGGACATGGATCTTGTTAAATGCATAATATTTCCATCACAACATACTTAGTTTCTGTACTTTTTCACTGTGTGTGTGTGTGTGTGTGTGTGTGTGTGTGTGTGAGTGATTACAGACACATGTCAGGGTGTGATTAAGCATCTTATTTTGAGATGACAGCTTTTGTCTTGGAACAACTCTACTCCTTGTATTGATAGGGAATTAAAAACATAGGACAGAGAGTTGATGTGATGGGATCAGAGATTACGAGCAGAATTATCAATAGTTTATAGCTGCATGGCATGGGGAAAAGGGACCAAGGAGCAACCCGACAAATGTACAAGAAGGACACTGAGGACATTTCCTGAGAAAGTGACATGACATCCTGAAACGTTTCCCAGTCATGTGAGCGCAGTGGGTAGAAGTTGGAGATCAAATAGAACAAGGAAATAAGAAACCTCTACAGTGGAGAGTGTTAGTTATCAACAAAGACATTTCCTGAGAAAGTGACATGACATCCTGGAACATTTCCCATGTGCGCAGTGGGTAGAAGTTGGAGATAAAATAGAACAAGGAAATAAGAAACCTCTACAGTGGAGAGTGTTAGTTATCAACAAAATAAACTCCACACATGCTGGATGAAAGTTTTCATCTTTGTACTATGTTCTGTTTTTCTCTCAGTCTCTCGCTCGGTCTCAAACCATGGATGTTCTGATTTAGAATGAGCACTAGCTGGGAAGTAGGGAAAACTACATCGACCGTTCTTCAGGTTACTAGTTAGTACAATTACATCAGTCAGCCCTGCTGGGTCTCCACTTTGGTGTCATGAGAAAGGCAGGCTAAGTGCTCCTGGAAGGTCTTCCAAAGTTCCAACATACTTCCTTTAAGATTTGAACGCATTGACCCAGTTTAGTTGGCGATATATTGATTCCGTAACACAAGATGTGAAGGTGTCTGCACACAGATATTTCAGAAACTTCAGGTGTTTTCAAAAAGAGAGTTTACAAACAAAATAAACACTAGCAAAGAGAAGACTAAAATGAATGAATTTCACAATTTTAAGGAGGGCAGTTAAAAATGCATAAGTGAGCATGTCATGTAAGACTTCTATGCAACATTTACCTACTACAACCAATTCAAGGATAAAATAATCTGAAGCATACAGATACTTTTGCCTTACAAGCAAAATGTAGATGACATAATTTTAAAATATATATATATATATATTATTATTTTTAATTTTATAGGTCATGTGTGCTGACCAGAGAGAGAGAGAGAGAGAGCTAGAGATAGAGGGAAATCTAGAAATCAACCCACTGGGTCTGGTACTCGAACTACAATTGGCCACCACATCACCTGCTGGCCCCCAATATAATGTATTTTAAGTGTTGTTTTCAGTTTAGAAATGTTAAGGGTTAATGGGTAATACCAGACTCAGCCTTGGTGGTGGAGGCAGTAGTGTACAGATCTGCAGTGCTGGAAGCCATATGACTCACCATGGGTTTGGATTCTGAGTCAACATAAAACATGCCAGATGCTCATGGTAGGAGAAGCCCCTGTGTGTGCTGCATCTGTCTCTCTCTCTCTCTCTCTCTCTCTTGCTTTCTCACTCTCATAAAAGACATAAAATAAACCTTAAATAAAATAAGTAAGCTATATATTAATTGGTACTCAGATATCTAGAAAAAAGTGCCAGGATAGCAAACGAAAACATTACCAATAACACACATTGTACTAAAATACTAAATGCAGTTATGCATTGTGATAATCCAGGAAAAGACAGTCTGAAGATACAATGAAAATGTGTAACTTTTGAGAGCTAAGTATAAATCAGATTTGTCCCAAAGGGAAGAGACACGTGATGTAAAGCCTATGGCTCTATCTGGGAATGAATCAAATGCATTTGTATGATTGATGCTAAATACTTACATTGTTTAATAAACTTTACTGCTATAAACTACTTCAAAGTTCAGGAACAATCAGTCACAGCATTAATGCTTTTTATTTTGTCTCTTTTTTTCCCAAATATTTAAGAGCTGCAATTTCATATTTATTTCACAGATAAACATTTTAATGTTAGATTTTTCTAATTGGAGTTGGGTCATGCCCTCAATAAACAAATGTAGTCCTTTGAGTAACAAACATGCAGGTGGGTTTGGGTATTGCGGTTGTATATGGAAATGATGCACTTCAGGTAGCCCAACCGTTAAGGCTGCGTTTGCAGAGAACTTAGTTGAGGATATTCATCCTCTTCAGGTGGACATTAGGCCTTCCTAGTAGCACTTGTCAGTCTCTTTAAAACACAGAAACACACATAGAAATCTTCTTGTTGGTAAAATGAGAAAATCGAAGGAAAATCTTCTGCCCTAGGACATCATTAGGTCTGGAATACAGCCTGAGGAGAGAAAGAAAAAAAAAGGTTATACCAACATGGCTCTTACTGATATTTTTTTCCTCTTGTGAATATAGTTAGCTTATGCGTAGTTTTGTCCTGTTGTTGTAATATGCCACTAATATGCTATCTTCTGGAATTTTATGTAAATGATTTCTCAGTATTGATGATCTACAATTAAGCTTATTCTTGTCAATAGAATTTTAATATCCTAGATGTTAGATGAGGTTAAGGCCACCCTGTTTGCAAAAGCAATATATTTTATGCCAATTAGCTTATCCATTATTACTAACCTTGGGTGATATGGGCTTACAGTGGGATGATAACAATGGAGAAAAACATGAATTTATTTTACCAGCGTTCTGTAATTCAAAACTGCAATGAATTCTCTTAGAACAAGTCTCTTAATTTTTCACATCCAAAAGGGTCAGCTGACATTTCAATGCCATGTTCACACCGTTTGCGGGACTTGTTCTCCTCCGTGGTTAGTGACATATGATGTAAGCACCACCCAGAGCTGCCTGGCTCCTTCCCACGCTGGCGCCCACCCACTCTTCACATTTTGCGCATGCACAGGCTGGGGGTGCTATAGCCCCACAGAAAGCCAGAGGCTTTTACCAAGTTCTAGCATCGCCACAACATGCAAAGAGCCACTTCAGGCACTGTTCCTTCCGACTGGAAGGAGCAAGGGAAGGAGATGCACGTGTGGTCATTGGCACATTGGCTGTGTTTACCTGCCACACTCGTTTCTGGAACCAAAAGCCTGGCGTTTTGGGACATAGTCAAGCATACTAAAGCCATAGACATGGGGGCGACGACCCCAAACGATCTTCTTTATTTTCAAAAAAGGAGCTAAGGGAAATACTGAAATTCCCTGTAACCTGCAAGCAAGAATCTCTTCTAACTCTCTTTGGATATGTCACGCATAGATTAGAAAGGACCTTAAAGCGTTCATATTGTCTCCTGAAAACCCTCCACGTCCAATTTACCCTCCCATGCTTCCGTGCTCCTAGAAAAGAGGAAAAGAAAATTCTCACTGACCCAGCTCGTGATTAACATACAGAGAGCAAATAAATGAATGGAGTGGGGGATGGGGCGGGGAAAAGCTGCGTGTTTCCTTTTCAGCCGCAGAAAATAAGATTACTTACCAAGAACATTTTGATCCAGGGCAAATGTTTATTCCCTGTATCATACGGCGCCTCCGTCTCTGCAAGAAATCAATTTCCACTCTACCTTTCCCTCCTATTTCTAAAAGGCAGAAAGAGAGAGCTAATCTTCAGCTTCGGGGTCCGGAGGAATACGGAGCCGGTGCGGAGGGCGAGGACTCCCACTGCGCTCTCCACGCAGAGCCCCCTCGCAGAGCCAGCCCGTGGGGAGGGGCGATCCTTTCTAAGGACAGCACGCGGGGTAGGGAGGGGATTCATTCCCCAGCCAAAATATAAATCAACTACAAACAGAATCACCAGCCGCGCAGTCACAGAGGCAATTCCCGAGGGGAAGCAGGTTATGGACAGGAAAGGGAAGTTCCTGAATGAGAGGGACAGACTGGGAGAGAGGGGAGATTGGGATTTTGGGCTTGGCGAGGGGACGGGGCCCTGGAGAGGAAAAGAGAAGGAATAAGCTCATCTTACCGATCGATCGGGCGATCGTTCGTGCAGTACAGGCACACGAAAACGGCATAACGCGTTCGGCCGCAAAGCCCTTGCTAGCGCACTGGACCTCGGTAGCCGTGCAGCTGTCAGAGGGGAGGCGGGGGCTTCTCCGCCGGCCACCTGCTCCCCAGGGACGGTCCTCAGCACCTCTAAAGCTCTAGCTCTTCCAGCAAGGCGTTTGGGGACTGAGGGTCCAATGGAAGTCAATTGCTTGAGTCTCGGGCAGCAGGATTCGGCGAGAAAGTGGGACCCAGGCGGGCTGCTGCCGCCGCCTCCACTGGCGCGTGTGGCGCGGTCACGGTCCCCGGGCCCCAGCCTCCCTCGCGCAGCACCCCGAACGCGCCCCGAGACCTGGCCTCGCCCGCATCTTCGGTTCTTCGATCCCTTACCCCCCCAGCCCCACCCCCACCCTCCAATACAAATCGCTGAAGATTTGGGCATCACAATGTGGCCAGTGGTGGTGGCTTATTTGGGGTTTGGTTGTGTGGGGTTTCCTGACTATGTCTCCCCTGTCGCTGGGAGCGAAAGGTGCCCGGGAAAGCCTAGTGAAATACTGATGGAATACTATTAATCCTAATAATAATGTTCCCAACGCAGGTAACTCTTAAAACCTGAAAGTGGGAAGATCAGAGCAGGATTTCCGAAGCCGTGCCTTCTTGAATTCTCATTGGACCCTCCCCAGCAGCCTAAATCATTCTCGCTGCTGTGTCTATCAGATGACTCCAGCCTGGCTCACTAGTTCTCTGTTGCTGTCTTCCTCACATCCTCTCACTTCTCTGTGCACATCGATCTGTAGTCCGCCTCCTGTTCTCCGGGGTTACAAGGCTGCTGTCTTCCCCCCACTCCCGGGGATGTGCAGGCTGAGCATTTTCCTCCTTGCCTAAGGATCGCCACCAATGAGCCCCTTGACCCCCCCAAAATAAAAGCACGTCTTTCACATCGTGCTTGCTTCCCTCGGGGGTCCCTAGCTGTCGCTGTAACTGGTTTCTACTTGGTTCCTTGGCACTTGGAACTGCGGATTATTTCAAAGTTCCACCGCCCTGCCGCCCACTCACTACTGTACCTTGATTTGGAAGACCATGGGCTCTCCGTCTGAATCCTGGATGTATTTCTCTCACAATCATCTTGGCTCCTGAAATTGCCTCTGGTAAGTTTGCTCTTTCTATGTTATCAAAACTTATTACTAGGGTTCTATTGAATAAGCTTTATTTTTTTAAAGTGTCTCATTTTTAACAGTTTTGTTGCATTCAGAACTCTGAGATGTAAAGGGTCACATGTATTAATTAGCGTGTGAGTTGCAATGACGCTATCCTGTATGAAGAATCTACATTCTTTTTTCTTTTTCTGGCCTCATTGGAACCATAGGGGATATAGACATGAATCCCCCCCCACCCCATAACCCTTCTTGGACATATTTCTCCTGCCATTTGTTGCAATGACACTATCCTGTATGAAGAATCTACATTCTTTTTTCTTTTTCTGGCCTCATTGGAACCATAGCGGATATAGACATGAATCCCCCCCCTCCCATAACCCTTCTTGGACATATTTCTCGTGCCATTTGAGAGGTCACATTTCATATGTTTATTTCAGGGAAGCCTGAAATATACCTCCTGACAATTGCAGGGTTGGGAAAGTTGACTGGTCTCTCTGATCTTGAGAAGGTTGTTGGGGTCAGTATTTGTTCCTGGTAAGCAATTGCAGGACTGAGGGAGGACTTTTGTAAAGTGCATTTTTATGGTTTTAACTGAACCCCAAACACTAAAATGGCACTCTGTGCTAGGAAGAGGAGGATGAGTTTGGAGGGCACCATTTTTTCCTACAACATCCCAAAGCACACACTCACGCACACTTTGGGGCATTGTATTTCAATCCAGGCATCGATGGCCTTCGCAGTACACATCTGATCTTGTGAATTAGCTAGTGAGCAGCTCACAGGACGCCAGTGCTCCTTTCAGAGGAAGGGAGCTAGCAGAAGAAGCCGCTGATTATCTCAGAACTCATCAATTAAGATTCAGGGGCAGACTGTATGGGAAATGTCACTGCCTCATTCTCCCCACTTGCACACCCCCGCCCTCGGTGTTTAATAAGTGTATCAATATGCCCAGCGCTTGCTGCTTTATGGCTATTTCTATGGGCTTCACCGACAGGATTAGCACCTCTGCTTTCAGTACAGTTGTGTGGAGAAACGATTCAATCTTTGCTTTTACTTTGCATATTGACCAGGGCATCATCCTCATTTCATGGCAAAACGGCGTGTCTCAGTGAGCCCTGCACGTACTAGGGTTTTCTCTGTGAACCTCGTCTCACCGCCCCCCCTTCTCCCCATAAGGACAAGTTCCTGGATTTGTAACATTTCCTTTTATTGGGATAGCTGCAGGTGAGACCCTACGGTTAAACTCTCCTTATTCCCTTCTTTTTCCTTGCCTTCTTTGCTTCTTAAAAAAAAAAATGCTCGAAAAGAACTATTCCTGTCGTCATTGATGGCTGAGGCAACAACCCAAGTAATGCTTTTTTAAATTCAAAAGCCTTTTTAGCTTCCAGACATAAAAGTACTCCAGCGGCAGCGTCACC